GGTTCAAAGCCACCAGTCACTTGCCAGAAGGAAGACTGGGCAATCTACTTCCATAGAGATACCACCTCAGAACCCAAGGAGGGGTCACTACAAGTCAAAAATGACTCGACGGTAGTGATTTTGGTTTTTGTTTGTTTTTTGAGCCAGGTGATTTAGAGAGAAGTTGCATTCTATATACGCTCCTCCCACAATCAGAATTCACAATGCGAATTAGCACCTTAAACATTCTGAGGAGCCCTGCAGCAAAGTACACCACTGGCAACGGAGCCACTTCTTTCAGTAACTCCAGTGGCCAGGGATCCGGATCTCCTCCGCGAAGGTACGAGTCTCAGAGTTACTGTTCTAAGTTTGACTTTCTTAAGATGAGTCTAAAGTTCTAAGAGATCCACACAAAAGAATAATTTTCCCTACCTCCCGAAATAGAAAAATGTAACCTGCCATCTGTCAATCTGTCACATTGTAGTGGCTTGAGTGTTGCTGTGAGGCTGCAGGCTATGCCACCAGTATTGCAAACAGCAGCATCACTGATGTCAGGCAGGCTCAGCGGAACCTTCAGACGGAGACAGACTAGGAAGAAAGGCCTGGTGACCTACTTCCGAAAATGAGACAATGACAAGCCAGGAATCAGAACACTGACTGAGTGCAGTCAGACATGCTAAGGATTGTAAGGATGGTGCCAGACGAGGTGACATCCTGCTGCTACACACAGGGCTGCCATGAGTCAGAACCATCTCCATAGCAGCTAACAAGGACAATCCTCCCCAGTTCAAAGCTGTCCTTGATCCCCACCACTACCCACCACCACACACACCTAGCAGAAACTATGAGTTAGACATCAGTGGTCACACACAATCTGGAAAGTCCATACCTCCGCTTTCTCTTGCTCCTCTAGTGCTAAAAACACAGCTGCTCGGAGTTCAGCCTTAAAAATAAGGAAAAAGAACAACAATTATTTCCAGACAATTTTAATGACAAGAATCATGCAAAATACTCCTAAAATATCACTTGGCCTCACTGTATTATTGTTCCTACTTCAGGTGTCATTTTTGTGTGTGTCTATTAAGGTGCTGAATAAGCTCATGGGGTGGGGTGGAATCCAACACTGACACAGTTCCACAGGCATCACCCACGTCACCTGACTGCCCACGAGGAAACCAGCAAGACAGTACCGTTCACTGGGAAAGTGCAGACGAGGGGGTCACAAAGTCACCCTGAATTTGTGAACACTTCTAGAAGCTCTCTATTCCTTCCCCTTGTAATTTTAGCTTAGAAATCATTAGCAACACTGTGGTAAGGCATTCGGCTGCCAACCAAAAGGTCAGCAGTTCAAATCCACCAGCTGCACCATGGGAGAAAGATGGGACAGTCCGCTTCCATAAGGCTCTAAGCCCAAAGCCCTGGAAACCCTCTGATACAGTTCCACTCTGTCCTCCAGGTGCACTGTGAGGCAGAATCAACTCCAGGACAGAGGGTGTGGTTTAGGCTTTGAAAAAAAACCAAACCAAACTCAGTGCCATTGAGTCAATCTGACTCGTAACAACCCCTCCTTGGGCTTCCAAGGCGGTATCACTATGGAAGTAGGTTGCCCAACCTTCCTTCGGAGGAGTGGCCGGTGGATTTGAACCACCAGCCTTCTGGTTAGCACTCAAATGCCAGTTTGGACTTTGGGTCTATGAAAATTGTTGTTGCTGTTATGTGCCATGGAGTCAGACCCAACTCATAGTGACTCCTCCTTGGGTTTCCGAGGCAGTATCACGACGGAAGTAGATTGCCCCATCTTCCTTCCGAGGAGTGGCTGTGGGTTTGAACCGCCAGCCTTCTGGTTAGCAGTCAAGTGCCTTAGGCACTACGCTACCAGAGCTCCTCTGGAAACCCTCTGGAGCAGTTCCACTCTGTCCTCTAGGGGCGCTGTGAGTCAGAATCGACTCAAGAGAGAAGGGTATTCATTGTTTTGGTAAATACTCTGCCTTTCCCCCCAATTAACGAGTGGTTAGTGCCAGCTGAGTCCCTGGGTAGAGCAAACTATGTACACACTGGTCCACTAACCAAAAGGTCAGTGATTCAGAGCCATCCAAAGATGCCTGGGGAGAAAGGCCTGGTGATCTACATCCCAAAATCCAGCCACTGGAACCCCATGGAGCCCATGGTTAGTATGGCACAAACAGGGCGCTGAGAGCTGGCGCTGACTCTGGGGCAACTGGGTCCTTTTCTTTTAAATGCTCAACAACTTGGAGAAATAACACAGGAGGAACTGGCCAGAACAGCTGCATGGAAACAACCCGAGAAGCTCACTCCCGGCAGTGCCTCCGCCCCCAGGAGCTAGGCCCCAGTCAGGTGTAGATGGCTAGAAGCAGTGTTTGCCACGTGCCAGGTGCCGTGCATCGATTCTGACTCATGCCAACCCCAGACAGGCTGGGTACAACTGCTCCACAGGGTTTTCAAGCCTCCAGGGGGCAAACCACCAGGCCTGCTGGGGAGGGTCCAACAGCCACCCTTGCTGCTAGTAGTAGAGGGCTTCACCTAGTAGTGGGTCCTGTCACCGTTCGCACCAGCCAGAGTGGAAGTATTGAGAGTGTCAGCTACTTCAGTGACTCGGACATGCACGGCTATTAGGCCTTTCTTCACGAGGAAGGTCCGGGAGGCTGGCTGGCCCAAGGTATCCAGTCAGCAGCCAGTGGCCAGACCTTAGGCTACCTATCTCTTGTCATCTATCTTTTGACACCTGACAAAAACAAGTGCGGTGTTGAGAAAAGACAGACCAGACCAAATTGGATGTCAGAAGAAACTCTGAAACTTGCTCTTGAACGGAGAATAGCTAAAGCAAATGGAAGAAATGATGAAGTAAAATAGCTGAACAGAGTGGCTGAAGAAGAAAAAAAAGTATAATAATGAAATGGGGAAAACCATGGCATTAGAAAACCAAATGGGAAGAACACGCTCGGCATTTCACAAGCTGAAAGAACTAAGGAAACAATTCAAACCTCAAATAGCAACACTGAAGAATTCTAAGGGCAAAATAGTAAATGCAGGAAGCATCAAAAGATGGATTGAATAGAGTCACTGTACCAAAAAGAAGTGGAAGATGTTCAACTGCTTCATCAGGACTTAGCATATGAACAAGAACTGATGGTACTGAAGGAGGGAGTCCAAGCTGCACTGAAGACACCCACGAAAAGCAAGGCTTCAGAAACTGATGGGATACTCATTGAGATGTTTCAACAAATGGATGCAGCGCTGGAAGTGCTCACTCAGCTACGCCAAGAGATTTGGAAGACAGCTGCCTGGCCAACTGACTAGAAGAGATCCATATTTGTACCCATTCCACAGAAAGGTGATTCCACAGGATGCAGAAATTATCCAACAATATTATTAACATCACAAGCAAGTAGAATTTTGCTGAAAATACTTCAAAACCGGTTGCAGCAGTATACAGACAGAGAACTGCCAGAAATTCAAGCCAGATGCAGAAGAGGACATAAAACAAGGGGTATCACTGCAGATATGAGATGAATCTTGAAAACAGAGAACACCAGAAAGATGTCTACCTGTGTTTTAGTGACTATGCAAAGGCATTTGACTGTGTGGATCACAACAAATTATAGATAACATTAAGAAGAATGGGAACTCAACAATTAACTGTGCTCATGAGAAACCTGTACAGAGACCAAGAAGCTGTTATTCGAATAGAACAAGGGCATACTGCCTGGTTTAAAATCAGGAAAGGAGTGCATCAAGGTCGTATTCTTTGACCCTACTTACTCAATCTGTATAATCGGAGAAGCTGGACTACATGAAGAACGAAGAACGCAGCATCTGGACTGGAGAAAGACTTACTAACAACCTGCGATATGCTGATGACACAACTTGCCTGCTGAAAGCAAAGAGGACTTGATGCACTTGCTGATGAACATCAAAGACTACAGCCTTCAGTGTGGATTCCACTTCCTCATAAAGAGGACAAAAATGCTCACAACCGGACCAATAAGCAGCATCACGGTAAATGCAGAAGAGATGACATTGGACCCCATTCATTCTACTTGGAGCCACACTCGACGCCCACAGAAGCAGCAGGCAAGAAATCAGAGCATTGCCCTGGGCAAGTGGGCTGCAAAAGACCTCTTCAAAGTGTCAGGAACAGAGATGTCACTCTGAGGACTACGGTGGCCCTGCCCCAAGCCGAGTGTCTTCGGTGGCCTGACCTGCGCGTGAAAGCACATCTGAGAGGCGGTGCCGGCCAACAGCGCTGCAGGTGCCAGGGACGGGCACCAGACCCCGCGAAGCTGTGCTGGCCGGAGCGCCGGACGCCCCTGGGAAACACCATGGCAGACTGTCTCGCGTGCCCCGGACGCCTGGGCAGGAGGCCAGTCCCCGGAGAGGGCCTCCGTGCTCGGTAGACGCCAGCGGACCGGACGGCACGATGGCTGCGGCTCTGGGCTCCGACAGCGACTGCGAGGACGGCGCAGGCGGCAGCGCGGCGCCGGGTCGCTACCACTCGGAGCCGGCCGACACCAGGGTGGAGCCTGGCCTTAGGAGCGCACCTTCGGTCGCGGCTTTGATCTGACTGCTGACCAGAAGGCTGGAGGTTCAAACCCACCAGCCCCTCCTCGGAGGGCAGGCTGAGCGGTCTACTTCCGGAGAAATACCGCTCGGAAACCCGAGGAGGGGTCACCAGGAGTCGGATCCGACTGGACCGCGGGGAGTTTGGAGGTCGAGGGTCGGGCCCACGGACCCCTGCGAGCCCGCCTCGAGCGCGGGAACGGCCAGACCTGCCGGTCCAGGAGACGCTGGGGCCGCAAGAGGCTGAGGACCCGGCCACGGTGCTGCGCCTGCCCGCCCGCTCCCACGGCCGACACACGCTCCCGCGCCGCTGGCCCGGCCCGCGACCAGCGCGGCCTCCTCCACGCGGCCTCTGTGACGCCCGTTTCCCTCCTCCGCCCGCTCGCCCGCTGCGGCCGTCCCGCGGCACCTTGATCCGGTTGAGAACCCCGCTATTCTCAAGCGTCTGCACCAGGAGGTCCCGCAGCTCTGTGTCCTCCTCCGCCACCACAGCCGTCGCCGTGGCCGCCATCTTGCTTCTCCAAGACAACCGCCAAACTGCTCGAACCGCCAACGGCTGCCGCAGATTCCACTCGGCTGCGGGGCGGAGCGCCGAGTGGGCGGGGCCTCGGGCGTACGGAGAGACGTGGGGGCGGGACTGCTGGGCTCGCAGTGGGCGGGGCTCCGGCGTGCGGCTGAGCTCCCAGTGGGCGGGGTCAGGTGTGCAGAAAGTTCAGCCCCCCCGGGGAGCGGAGCCTTGGGCGTGCTGGGACGGTGGCATGGGTTACCACGATTTTGATGTGGCTTCCAGGGTGGCGTGCATGTGGCCAGGTAGACTCTGGACGGTGCGGCGTGCAGGCTGGCCTGGCAAGAAGCAGCCGCCTGGACGACACGTACCACCTAAGTTCGCACTCAGCCTTGCTTTCCAGTACCTGGGCGCCTCCCACGCGAACAATCTGACAACTAGGAGTTGTCGTGTTTTGCTTGTGCACGTGTGAACTTTTTAGCTGTGCTCACTCAGGAGCACGCTATTCTTAAGCTGCATGCTGGATTGAGTGCTTAGGGGAATGCCAGGACGTCTGCAACTCACTTTTCAAATGGTGCGGCCAATAAAAGAAAACACAGAGAGACAGGCGGTTTACACACCCAGAGAAAGGCCAGATGTATCTCTTGCTGGGTGCCTGTGGAGGGCATGTGGGTGCTTCACATACTGTTGCGCTAGTCCGTGCGTTTTCCTGCGTGCTCGGATGGTATTGCCTGGACAGCGTTGGGCAGGGAGAAGATCTGAGAAGATTGAGAAGCGGTGGGACTTAGACACTAGAGTACAAGAGAATCACGTGAGGCTTGTGAGCAAGAAACGGCAGCGGTGGAACCGCCCCCCAGCGGTTCTTTCTGTAACATTTTCACAAGCAGCCCGTGTGATTGTAATGCACGTGGTCTGCAGATGGTAACTCCCTGTTCACCCCAACTCTGCTCCCCACGTGTAAACCCCAAACCCACTGCCATCAATTCCCACTCATAGCGACCCTATGGGAGAGAGTACAATCGCCTCATGGGGTTTCCAAGGCTGTAAGTGTTTGTGGAAGCCCACTGCTACATCCTTCTGCAGTGAACCGCCAGCCTCCTGGTTGGCAGCCAAATGCTGGAGCCTCTTTTAAGCAGGGTATGTCCTTCCCGGCAGTGTTAGTGGGTACATACATGGCACGGATACACGTGTACTTTTTCCCGTTCCATATTTGGGTCCTGAGCCCTTTTAATTTACCATCTCCATTTAATTAATCTTCATCACCTTTTCGGGGGGGGGGGTATTCTAGGACCCCTGCTGGTGTAGTGGTTAAGCCCCGGGCCGCTAACGAAAATGTTAATGGTTAGAACCCACCAGCTGCACAGCGGTAGAAAGATGAGGCTGTCTGCTTCTGGAAACATTACAGCCTTGGAAACCCTTTAGGGTAGTTCCACTCTGACCTATAGGGGTGCTATGAGTAGGAATCCATATATATCTATATATCCCACTGCCATCGAGTCATTCTTTTTAACTAGTGCATAGTATTCTATTTAAGACTGTTGCATAGATTATATTATTAATAAAAGTCATTTGTCTGGATTTATTTTGTTATGAAAGCAATGCATACTGATGCCTAAAATTGTAAACAAAAGAGGAAAATACTAAAAAGTAAACGTGACCCCCATCCTTCCTACTAAGCTATCTGCCCACATGGTAACATACCCTGGACACACTATAGCTAACAGTTTCTGGTTTTCTTTCTGGTTTTTCACTGTAACTTTACATGCTTAGACTTCTATTTCTCAAGTCATCAACTGTAGACATCATCTTTCAAAAATACAAAAGTTATCTTATTTATCTTCCCTTCCACTCCTGATTTTTAAAATTGTGCTCCTCTTGGTTCTGCCAAGCAAGCTTTCCTGACTTTCCCGGACTAACTCGTTCTTCATAACTGTAGCCGTTATCTCCTGACGATGAGAGAGGAGGGAATACTGCCCTTTCATCTTTCCTTCCCTCCTTTATGAATATTGTTAGTTTCATTTTTATTTTTATACTATCAAAAATTTGTATCCTCTTCTATCATTATCATGAAATATTTCAAACTTTGTCCATAAGTTAATTGCAAACAATCAACAGCATTTGCGATGTCAGGAATGTAACAGACCCGCTGTGGTCCGTGGGTGCTGGAACAAACATTTTCCTGCAAGTTGGTTAACTTCCAGCCGGTGCGGCTGAGATTACTGGCCTGCACAGGCTCAGATAAACTTTCCAGTTATGTTGACCTTAGCGAGTGACTTCACCCCTGGGTGCGCATCCTCAGATGGGGGTAAGAATCAGCTTGTATGTGAGTGTGACTGTGTGTGCATACATGTGGTTAGAAAGCGTGCTAGCTACTGTTTCATGTCGGAAACAAGGAGCGTGACAGACGCGCTGGTGTCATCTGCCGCCCATCTATAACCTCGTTTCCCTCCCTGAGGTGCTCCGAGCTCTGTGGCTTTCCTTTCTTCAGCTCTGTTTTGCACCTGAGCCAGCCAGGGCCCACCACTTTGTCCACAGTCCCCCGGCTCAGCTGAGACTGAACTCCCCGAAGGGGTGTGCCTCCCTGTGCTTTGTTTCCTCCCAGTGTTTGTAGGATACAAGTGAATTAAAGCCAACAGGGTGCAGGAATGTTCATCAAGTGAAGGGAGCATGGAACACAACACTCAGAGCCAAGGAGGCCCACTCTCCCGGGAGGGACTGCGGCCACAGCCAGCTTGGCTCAGGAGAGCCACCAGGGAGCAGTGTGTACCAGCCAACCAGCAGAGCGTGGCTTTTTCTTTAGCTGCTCACACAAAAGAAATATGGCAAAGTAGAGGCGAATGCTGACTATTAATGGATTCTGCACTTAATTGATGCCGTCTAAGTAGATATTCCTAACTGCGGGGGTTGGGGCAGCCCCTAAATGGTCAGCTGCTCACCAAAAGGTCAGTGGTTTGAACCCCCCAGCTGCTCTGGAGGAGAAAGATGTGGCTGGCTGCTTCCATGAAGACTGACAGCCTTGGAGACCCTGTGGGGAGCTCCACTCTGTCCTCTAGGGGCGCTGTGGGTCAGAATGGACTCCAAGGCAGTGGGTGTGGTTTGGGCTTTGCTTCTGTGAAGACTGACAGCCTTGGAGACCCTGTGGGCAGTTCCACTCTGTCCTCTAGGGGCGCT